CGATCCATTTTTCCCTCTATCTTTACTAGCGGACCAACCCCAGCTCGTGAAAAGCACCCCCAGATCATAACACTACCACCACCATGCTTTATTGTTGGCTTCAGGTACTTTGCATCATATCTTATACCTACTGGCCTTCTCACAAATGATCTACCATCAGAACCAAATATTTTAAATTCACTCTCATCACTCCAAAGCACTGTGTTCCAATTTTGAGATGTCCAATTTAAATGGTTTTGAGCAAACCGAATTCTGTTCTTCCGATTTCTTTTTTGAGAGCAAAGGTTTTTAACGGCCACTCTTCCCAGAAGTCCTACCTCACACAAGCGTCGTCTCACGGCGGTGCGATCAGTAACATTGATATTGAAATTGTCACATATCTCTTTTATTTGCCGGGAAGATTTGTGTGGGTCTGCTAGAGAAATCTTTTTGATGGATTTTTCCATAAAGGGGTGGTTTTCAGGGACGCCCCCCGATTTTGGCCAGTTAGTTGTAGCTCCCAATGTTAGGTACTTTTTTAAAATTTTCGAAACTGCTCCTTCTGAAATCATTAATGATTTGGCAATTGTACACTGTTTACACCTCTATTTTTTAACTCTATAACTCTGTTGCGTAAGTCCTCAGACAAATACTTATTTTTACCCATTTTTAACAATAAAAATGTTGCTTGCCTTTGCAATAAAATCAAACTAAACAAATCGATCACAACAGCAAAAATATGAACAAGAAAAAAGCTTTCCATACTTTTGTCCGAAGTGTAAACAAAATATGTTGATAAAAATAAACAATGTAGTTAGAATAAAAAATTATCTTGTGAATATTTGATATATTTATGCGGTTGTTAGCATACGAAAATATTTAAGCTGTATTATTTGTTTGAGCGAGATAAAATAGGAAATAAAAAATCTTTCCATACTTTTGTCCGCCACTGTATGCCCCGGCCCGTCCACAATTCAATCCCAGATCTCGCCTATCTCTTTCTCACAGGATTGATTGTTGGACGGGCCGGAAATCCACGAGCTTGCGACTTTACTAATTGACATCTTGATAGAAACTGCAGACCTGCCGCGTCTTTTGCGTGTTTTTAATGGACACAAAATCGAAAAAAGCGCTTAAAACGGTAAAATTGCAAAAAGCGCTTGAGACGCAAAAAACGCAAACCGGTAAAAACGCTTTCTGTGTGGCCGTGGGCTAAGATTTGCAGAGCTTCAGCATTTGCAATAAAATAGCGAGCAATTAGTTACAAAGCCATATAAATTATATATCACTGTAATCACAAAACTTCAATCTATTTCCGTATTGTAACAGAATTTTAAATTATGTCTTTATTTTCGAGAAAATTTAGTCCAAACATTTAGGAATATTTTGTTGATGTTTGACAATCAAAATCTTAAAAATAAAGAAGTTGTCTAAAAATGTGCTACAATACGGATGTAGTATAATCCTTTATCTGCAATTTCCTTCCTCATTTGTGTAAAAATGCCTAGCCAGTTTTACATAAAATATTAAATGCCGAACGTTTATTTTGCTACTTTTCGGACTAGTGAAATGAACTAATGCCAATAGTCCTGAAGAACTACGCAAGCACAAATTAATGAATCAAATACAGCCAGCTAAATAAAGTGGCTCTCAAAATGAATTTAGCAAAAAGTAATGTACCACGAACTAGTGGAAAGAAAAGACATTCGAATAAATAACACTACCAGAAATCAACAGAAGAATTAAGTTAGCATGAAGTACTTATCAATTTAATTAACTTTATTTACACTACTTTTAAAGTGTTTAATCCTTGCTATCTGGCCGAGATTTTCGTGTTCAAATTATTCTGTTTTACCACATACTAAACTGTGCTGTACCGTATATAATCTGTGTAATCTTCAAGGTTGTGTACTCTTCACACGTGATGTCCCATAAATTTTAAACACATTTTCAATGTTTTTTTTTCACGCTGTTATTGTTCGATTAACCGCGATTTTGCGTCTTTGAACGGCTAAAGCACTACGCACACGTTACACTTTGTCGTACAAAGTGTGTTTTATTTCCATTTGGCATCTTGTAGTTTCATTTGATATTTTATCTTTTCTGGACTTTCCAGCTGATCTTCTCCAAGTCCATCTCCGTTTCAGCTTTTTCTTAGAATTTAGTCACTCGCATTTTCATTGGAGGACACTATCATATTTATTTCAAACTGTTTCAAACCAATAATCGACGAGAATATTCGTATAATCTACATATACCGTGCTGGCAACTGTTACTTTTGGGTCGGCATTTACATGTGTGGAAGTAAATCGCATAGGGATCTTATTAAGTCGGAGTGAGAGAAATGCGACCGACCGACGCGACGCGCGCCGGTGTGCTGTTGCGGCGTTGTCGATACGCCTTTCCCTATCAAGTAAAGTAAAATCGCGATCGCAAACCGCTTATTTTTAAAAGACTTTTTTGTCAAGAGATAATTAGATAAAATTATTAGACATGTTTCTGAGCATCTGAAATGGAATTATAAGGATATCGTTAGGGTGTCATTTTTATAACGAGAAAACGTCAGTAATTCCGATAATTTAAAAATTGAACTTTTTAACACATAACAGGCCATAACTCAAGAACCACTTTAGATATTGAAACTTTTTTTTTATTTTTAAGATCGGATATTTTACAATATGTTTTACATAAGAAAACTTCGATAAGGTTGTTTTTTCCATTCAAAAATTGTAAACAAGCCATCCATTTACTTTTAGAGCATAGCAATTTTCAGCAATCGTGTAATTTTTTTATTGATAAAGATTTTCACATACTGTCTACAAAGAAAATACAGCAGAAATATTAACAAAGTTCTTGAAAAAAACTACAATCTATTATTTCTAATAGATTTCGAGATATCGATTTTTGAATTCTGTTCTAATAGCGGGACCACTATCGATTACCCACTCAATTCCATTTATTTTTACCAAAAATGCAAGTGTTTCTAGCTTGCACTTAAAAAAATTCAAGCTAGAAGGAAAATTACAACGACTCGTTAATAAATAAACAAATTAGGTATCACGAGACGTAATTAAATCGTGAAGCTAAACGCATGAGGTACACCTTTCCCTAGAATTTTAAGTACTGACAGAGGTATTGATTATTGATTGGGTTGTAATGAAGTTCATAAATTTTGGGGCTCATTTCTGGGACACCCCGTATACTGTACTTAAATAATAGGGACCTTTTCTGTAAACAAGGTTAGGCAATGTATTTTATTGTTAACTCATTATGGTAATGAACTTCATTAATGTTCTTACTGTTGAATTAAATGCGTTAGATATTTAATGACCATATTGTAATAGAGTTTTGATCGGCGTTCGTCTATATAGTTCGGTACGGCAGCCGAGAAGCTGGCCCTACCAGTACCGGTCGAGTGGAGGAGAGGGTCGTTTGAGTATACCCCGGCAGCGAGCGCCAGGTAGTCAGTGGTGTGATCGCACGTGAACAGTGAAGTTCGAGCCCGGAGTGCCCTGCCAAGTACCCCTGCTGCCAGCCGCCGTTGCCGCTCTGAAGAAGGTAAGTCCAGCCGCCAAAGTGATCGAGTAGGTCGTTTTCTTTTTTATTGTTAATACGGTTTGTTTTACTGCCTTAACGCGTTATAGAATAAGGGAGATAGAGATAGTTAAATTGCTCCAGGTGTCTCGTGTCCTACTGTAGAAGTAAAAAATACGTGCAAGGTAGAGGCATCTTGGTCCGAAACGCGCGTACGTAAAATTTAACCAGACTTGTATCCGCTCAAGGTGTCAACTGTCCTACTATAGAAGTAAAAAATACGTGCAAGGTTGAGGCATTTTGTCCGGATCCCGTGGACGCGAAGACCGATTTCTTTTTGGTTAAAAGGGAGACAGATAGCGGTTAAGGTAGTACAACAAATATACGGGCGCGAATATCCTTGAACTAAGGCAGGATCTCGTCTATCCCGCGACTGGTTCTGTAGTTCCCGGTATTCCTCATCAGGAGCGCCTGGGATCTCGCCGACATCCCGAGGTGGTCCTGACCGGGCGGTGTGGACTGTGCTTATCCAGGCGACTAACCGGGACGCCGTTTCGTTTTACTGCGCACGATCCAGGGCTCGCGTGCGTACCTATCCCACAGGACTCCGTTTCGTCCCACTGCGAACGATTCAGGACTCGCGTGCGTATCTATCCCACAGGACGCCGTTTCGTCCTACTGCGAACGATTCAGGGCTCGCGTGCGTATCTATCCCACAGGACGCCGTTTCGTGCTACTGCGAACGATCCAGGGCTCGCGTGCCTATCTATCCCACAGGACGCCGTCTCGTTCTACTGCGCACGATTCAGGGCTCGGGTGCGTAATTATCCCACAGGACGCCGTTTCGTTCTACGACGAACGATCCAGGACTCGCGTTTGTTTATCCCGGGACGTCTGTAACGACGCGCCGACGTTTAGAAAGTCGGGTTATAAAATAGTATATCGCTCCGGTACGTACATGTCTGTGTTTACTAGGACGCCGTTAAGTTAGACGCCGGTTAGAAACTCGCGTCGTTTTATTTACTAGGACGTCATGTCAAAACCGTGCTTTGAATTCGCGTGATAAAATCGGACAGTGAGTTGCATATCGAGATTATACGGTCAAAACTCTAGAGGTGCTCGATTGTTGTTGTAAATTTTATTTTACGAGTCATTAATTATAAATTTTCTTTCACTTTCATTACAATTTAAAGTCGTGAAACTTCCTGGGGTATTTAGCATATAGTTAATTAATTAAATAAAGCCTTAATGTTATGTTATGGTTAACTGTGTGTTTTATTTCTTTTCATTTCATCACTCCCTGGTTTCTCCACTGTATAAAAGCTACCCGTATTGGCGAAACGTGGACCTCTTCCACTATAAATAACAGAGGTGGCGCCCGAGAGATTTAAATTTACTACTGTACGCCAGTAAGGCTATTTATTTTTCACTGAACCAAAGAAAAATAAATTGAGACTCTTACAAAAAATGGCGCCCAGCATAGGGACTTGATTGTTTTGAAGATTGAACCGTCAAAAGTACCAGGAAAACCGGGTAAAGCTAGTAAAAGCGAGAAAGCTATGGAAACAGTGTGAGAGGAGGTGAAAAGAAAGTAACAACCGTCGAGCATAAGTACCTCTAGAGACAGTAAAGTCTCAGTGCTTCTGAGTTAAAGACTAGTGAAATCTAGAGCGATATGGAAACTGAGGAAGATTTTTTTCGGATTTTTTTCGGATTGGATTGTACCGGGACTGTTGAGGAGATGCGAAGAAGGATAGTGAGATTCATTAGAGAAGGACAGGTGAGTCCTCAGCCGGTCTCAAAGCCTTTTGGATTTCCTGGAAATAGTGCTGTTGTACCGACAGTGAGCTCTACAGCCACCCTGACCACTACGACAGTGACAACTACAGTGACAGCAACCTCGAGTGGATACATTGCTGGACGTGTAGTGCCTTCTCCGGTGGTCTATACTTCTACTTCACAGCCTGTCCCTCTGCCGATAAATCCAGGTATGTCAAATAGTTTTAATACTAATCCTATACAAGTTTACAAATGGGGGGTGACATTTAATGGTCGCTCGGACCCTGTAACATTCTTAGAGAGACTGGAAGAAATTTGTATAGCACAGAATATACATCCGGATCGTTTATTGCCACATTTGCCAGAAGTTTTGCAAGGAGAAGCTGCGCTCTGGTACCGCAATAACCGAGTAAATTACAGGACCTGGGAAGAATTTACTGGAGAATTTAAAATTTTTTATTATCCAGTAAATTATGAGGTGGACCTAGAGGCGAAGATAAGTCGTCGAGTGCAAAGACATAACGAGTCTGTCACGGCGTACATCACTGATCTTCAAACGTTGATCCGCAGACATGGCAGCATCTCTCTGAATCAAGAATTGCAGTGGTTGTACAGAAATTTGTTACCTGAATTTCGTCAGTATGTCCGAAGAGGAGATTTTCACGATATTTCATCGTTCTCAAGAATAACCAAGGAGTTTGAACTGCTTAATCAGGAACTGCAGCGATCGTCCCGTACTTATGCACCGTCCGATGTCGAAGCCCGACCGAATAATACGCCTCGGCGAGACAGGCTGGAAAATGAGCATGCTGGAGCCAGGAGCAACCTGATGGTTATCCAGAGCCAATCGCCGTCTCAGAGTAAACAGAGACATGTGTCTGTTACTCCCCGTGTTTCAAGATATCCGTATAGAGCGCCGAACTCTGCAAAACAGACTTCAGAAGCAATCTGTTGGAGATGTGGACAGACAGGACACTTCCGCAGACAGTGCACATCCGAGCCCAAAATCTTTTGTTCCCGATGCAAAAAGACAGGTGTTCTTTCTAGGAATTGTCCATGTGTGAGCCCAAGAAAGCGGGAACCAAACCGCACAGAAATATCCCAGGAACAACATTATTCACCAACGGAGATTGTTGAAGAATTACCACAAATCATACGTCAAGAAATTCGTCCTGTTGTGAAGATTCGCTACCGGAACACCGACTATTTGGCACTCCTGGATACTGGAGCTGCCCATTCCTATATTGGAAAGAAATTGACAGAACAGTGCCAAACTTCCAAGGCAATTCCTGTCAAACCCACGGTAAAAGGAGCGAGACTTGCTAATGGTGCCACGGAGTCCATTAGCACAGCATTTAGGATGAAAATCCAAGTAGGAGAGCAGTCTCTGAATGAGGTTTTCCACAGTCTAAAAGACTTAGTTTCGGATATGATTATTGGTATGGATATTCTGGGCAAACATGACTTCCAGATTGATTTACGAACCCGACAGATCCGATTGAATGCTAAGTTGGTGAGTGCAGAATCGGTGGTTTCGTCTTGTAATGTCATGTCAAGTTTAAAGATCCGAAGCTCCGCCGAAGGTTTACAAGTAAACCCGAAGAAAAATGTTGAACAAACAACCGAGAAGTTGAGGAAAGGTCAACGTCAAGCATCCGTTTCTAAAGGCAGTCGCCTTCCGATAAAAACGAGTCTACAAAGCCCTGTAGAAGTGTTCCGCAGACGTCAAACCAACAAGTTTTCTGACTCCAAAGATGTATTGCTTAAAAACTCTGATCGAGTTCCGGTGGAGAAGAATGTGTGCTGGCGATGTGGAATTCCCGGACACCTACGTGGTGTATGTCAAAGAAGATTTCTTTTGTTCTGTTCCAGATGTGGAACACTCGGCGTGCGATCACAGGATTGCAAATGTAGATGTATACCATCCCGTTCAAATCACTCCGAATCCTGGGCTGATGGATGTTGGTTAAGAGGAGGATCAACAGTCATCTAAACAGTATCTAAAAAAAAAAACCGTCCCGACTGATGAAGTTGTAGAACTGATGTTATTTTGAATTTTTCAGACTATAACGACTCATGACTCATGACTCACTGCCAGGACCTATCTGCAAGCCACACTGACGCTAGCCAACTCCCCCACATTCCCATGTGTCTGGAAGCCAGTCTAGGCGGAGACAGCAACAACTTGCCAGGGAAGAAGTGAAGAAGTGACATGCAGAAAAACCCGATGTCCTGGCCCGTCTGAAAACCAACGCCGGACGTCCAGCAACAGGAGTCTGTCGTCACAATGTCCTCAGTCTACAAGTCATCAGATTCTAAGTTTTCATTTCTTGTTTACTTTCTTTAAGGGGTTTGCTTTTCTTTAAAAAAAAAGGGGCGACAAGTTATATCTTTTGATAGTTAAAGTAAAAAAAAGGGAGTTGATTTATATCTTTTGATAGGTAAAGAAAATAAAAGAGTATTGCGCGATTTTAAGTCTCTATGTTATGTCTACGGGGTTTGGTCCTGGTTAGTTTAAAAAAAAAAAAAAAAAAAAATTAAATCGAAAAGGGAAACAGAAAGAGGGTTGAGAAGCTTTACTTGTTGTTTAAGGGAATTTTGTAGTATCTCTCATCTGGTCGTTTTTTTTTAAATATGAAATTATATTACGACCAATTGTTCTGCGTGCCTGAAGAGTTGAACTAATTCAGTTGTGCTATAGGTGTACGGGTCTCCATGACTGAGCCATTTGCAGGACCATTCAACACCGTTGGACCAGGAGGGACTCGCCGAAGCCTTAAACACCGTTGGACCAAGAGGGACTCACCGAAGCTCTCAACGCCGCTGGACAACGAGGGACTCACCGAAGCTCTCAACGCCGCTGGACAACTCACCGAAGCCGCAAACACCGTTGGAGCAAGCTCGACACGTCGAAGCTCTAGACACCGCCGAAGGAAGATCTTCAAGTTGAAGAAGACCGAAGATATTGCGTAATTTAGTTAAGTTTTGCATTTTGAAAATAAACATTTGATTTTGCGTGGGTCGTTTTATTTTAGTAACTTAATCATGATTACGATACAAAAGTTTAGATTAAGACTTGACAAATAAACATTTGAGTTTATGGTTGTTTTCTTTTAGTTGTAAGCATAATCAAAGTGATACCAGGTCCCAGATATATCAAGGTTTTAGATTAAGTTTGCCCCGTAACCATTCGAATTTGTTGTTATTTTGTTAGATGAAATCTGGCCCAGTAAATATCCGAATTTATTGTTGTTTTATTAGGTTAAGTTTGGCCCAATAAACATTCGAATTTGTTGTTGTTTTTATTAGACTTTAAGAGATATACTGGGCGTTAGCTTAAGTTTTGGTCAAACAAAAGCTGTTTTAACAGGAAGTTTCATTTCAGCATAGCTGACAAAAATATATGTTCATATATTTTTAACCGAAGTAGGGGGAGTGTAATGAAGTTCATAAATTTTGGGGCTCATTTCTGGGACACCGTCATACTGTACTTAAATAATAGGGACCTTTTCTGTAAACAAGGTTAGGCATCGTATTTTATTGTTAACTCATTATGGTAATGAACTTCATTAATGTTCTTACTGTTGAATTAAATGCGTTAGATATTTAATGACCATATTGTAATAGAGTTTTGATCGGCGTTACTGCTATAGTTCGGTACGGCAGCCGAGAAGCTGGTCCTACCAGTACCGGTCGAGTGGAGAGAGGGTCGTTTGAGTATACCCCGGCAGCGAGAGCGCCAGGTAGTCAGTGGTGTGATCGCACGTGAACAGTGAAGTTCGAGCCCGGAGTGCCCTGCCAAGTACCCTGCTGCCAGCCGCCGTTGCCGCTCTGAAGAAGGTAAGTCCAGCCGCCAAAGTGATCGAGAGTAGGTCGTTTTCTTTTTTTATTGTTAATACGGTTTGTTTTACTGCCTTAACGCGTTATAGAATAAGGGAGATAGAGATAGTTAAATTCGCTCCAGGTGTCTCGTGTCCTACTGTAGAAGTAAAAATACGTGCAAGGTAGAGGCATCTTGGTCCGAAACGCGCGTACGTAAAATTTAACCAGACTTGTATCCGCTCAAGGTGTCAACTGTCCTACTATAGAAGTAAAAATACATGCAAGGTTGAGGCATTTTGTCCGGATCCCGTGGACGCGAAGACCGATTTCTTTTGGTTAAAAGGGAGACAGATAGCGGTTAAGGTAGTACAACAAATATACGGGCGCGAATATCCTTGGAGCTAAGGCAGGATCTCGTCCATCCCGAGACTGGTTCTGTAGTTCCCGTATTCTCATCAGGAGCGCCGTGGGATCTCGCCGACATCCCGAGGTGGTCCTGACCGGGCGGTGTGGACTGTGCTTATCCAGACGACTAACCGAGACGCCGTTTCGTTCTACTGCGAACGATCCAGGGCTCGCGTGCGTACCTATCCCACAGGACTCCGTTTCGTCCCACTGCGAACGATTCAGGACTCGCGTGCGTATCTATCCCATTGCGGACGCCGTTTCGTCCTTACTGCGAACGATTCAGGGCTCGCGTGCGTATCTATCCCACAGGACGCCGTTTCGTGCTACTGCGAACGATCCAGGGCTCGCGCGTGCCTATCTATCCCATTGGACGCCGTCTCGTTCTACTGCGCACGATTCAGGGCTCGGGTGCGTAATTACCCACAGGACGCCGTTTCGTTCTACGGCGAACGATCCAGGGCTCGCGTTTGTTTATCCCGGGACGTCTGTAACGACGTCGCCGACGTTTAGAAAGTCGGGTTATAAAATAGTATATCGCTCCGGTACGTACATGTCTGTGTTTACTAGGACGCTGGTTAGGAACTCGCGTCGTTTTATTTACTAGAACGTCATGTCAAAAACGCGCTTTGAATTCGCGTGATTAAATCGGACAGTGAGTTGCATATCGAGATTATACGGTCAAAACTCTAGAGGTGCTCGATTGTTGTTGTAAATTTCATTTTACGAGTCTTTCATTATAAATTTTCTTTCACTTTCATTACAATTTAAAGTCGTGAAACTTCCTGGGGTATTTAGCATATAGTTAATTAATTAAATAAAGCCTTAATGTTATGTTATAGTTAACTGTGTGTTTTTATTTCTTTTCATTTCATCACTCCCTGGTATCTCCACTGTATAAAAGCTACCCGTATTGGCGAAACGTGGACCTCTTCCACTATAAAGAACAGAGGTGGCGCCCGAGAGATTTAAATTTACTACTGTACGCCAGTAAGGCTATTTATTTTTCACTGACCCAAAGAAAAATAAATTGAGACTCTTACAGGGTCGACCAATCAACTGCGACAAATCTGCTATATCCCCTTCCACGTCTTTTAGCAATGTGCACAGTTTCTCGGTTTATTTCATACGTTTGGCAACGTGTTTACTGTTCTCTCTTTGTTCGGTACATTATAAACGCATTGTAGGTACTCTTCTTACATATGGAAATCTCGACCCAAGACTAACCTTTGCCCAAGGTTATTAAAAAAGGTTGTCTCGTAACTCGTTCCGCCATTATCGAAAACGTCATACGAATGCTACCACTCATAGATAAAGGGATAAAAACTGCCCACAGTCCGACAGTGCATTTCCGAATCGATATTCATTGTGTACTTTATTGTTTATAGTGTATGGCGTCAATAGTTTTCAGTTGTTTGATGTGTGTTTTTTTTTGTCTTTTTGTTGTCCACCAATGACGATTGATAATTCGTTCAAAATTCTAAGATCCTCTAATACAGTATTGCCATCTATTTCGATCATTTCGTTGATGGCTCCGTAAAAACGTCGTATAGGATAACTTTATTTCATAAATTAGGTATAATAAAACTACGAATATGATATGTTACGTTATTATCTAACTCATCACGAGATATCGAAAGCGAGTATTTAGCAGCACTATATCAAGTAAAATATGTATGTTCATGGATAACGAAAGATAAATAAGTAATTTACCATAATCAGACGCGAGTCGAAAATTGAATTTTAATCATTTCTTTTGGACTTTTTCCAATTTTTTTAAAAACTTTGGAACAGGAATGAAAATGTTTTCACCCGGAAAAATGCAAGAAACTACGTTTGAGTGACTTTGGCGCCCTCTAACTTTGTCCTCGTAGGTTTTAGAGGTTTGTTACTGAGATGAAAATATATGAATGAAAAATGAGATGAAAATATACAGTTCGGACCATCCTGTATAGAGAATTTAATTCTCTTCATTTTTTGTTCCATAAAATATTCTGTGGGACCTATGGTTCAGCCAGAAAATTGAATCCAAAATTTTTTTGAATTTCTCAAAAACGGTGGAGTAGGGGAAGACGAATTTTTGAATTTAAGGAGATATGAAATGCCAGATTGACTGTACTATTAGGTCCTTGGATAAAATTATTATTCACATAGAATTTAGACGAATTTATGAATGACCAATTAATGTTTGTTTTATTAGGTATAAAATTCGTTGATAAAGTGCATTTTGCATTTTAAATTGTTACTGCGAGTATTATTTAAATAGGTTGTTACACAAATGTGACACACATGTAATTTACGAACTAGATATCCGCGGTTTTAAGCAACAAAAACAAACGTAATACACAAAGATTAAACATTTAACACGACTTATATTAAATTAAGGTGGATTAAGTTGAGACTGTGGATTTCCTATCATATTTTTTTATCGGACAATCTTTATTCTACGTCACAAATAATTTATTACTATTGTTTTATGTCTCTATAAATTGGCAATCGATGTTAATTTACATGAATGTTTTTTCCGAACCTAAAAACAGGAGTCATATTGACATCAAAATCAAATTTCTCATGTCAAAAAACACCAATTTTCATCCAAATATTGACGTCACTTCAGAAATTATTTGGAAAAAATCGAAATAAAAATGAAACTTTTACACCCTGTACCTCCGAAACTAAGCATTTTAGAACATATTTTACTTATTTTTATCTGCTTTTATATACGAACTTTTTTACTTATTTTTATCTGCAGAATATGGTGCCGAAGTTTCCGGAATACAGTTCGGACCACCCTGTATATTTATCTATTTTTATTAGAAAAATATTTTTATTCAAAGTTCTAACCTCAGCATTTATTTATTTATTTTTTTAGGATATTATTTACTATAATAATTTACTATTTCAATTAAGCGTATCGGAACAGCCTGTTTAATAGTGGAATTAATAAAATCGTGGACATGTATACGATGAACTTCGATCTCTAAATGGCGTGAATGTTAAGTAATTCGCAAATAAAACAATAAATAAATTGGGCAATAGGTTGGCGAGGGTCAAACTGTCTTCTGGACAAACGCAATAGGCGCCATTGACCTCCAGTGGCGATTGTGACTTTGAAACGATAAATAATGGTCAGAGAATTCCGAAAAAAATTAAACTTATTGATAATATACCATATAAATCCCATATAAAATTTAGCCCCTTTTTCGCTACACTGAATAATTCTTCTTTAATCACCACAGGGTGGTCTAGTAGACACCTCTATTAAATTACATAATTTAACAGAAAAAATAATAGTTATTTATGGTACTCGTGTGTTACCTTACATAGAAGTCACGCTGGGAAATGTTTTTCAAAAATGAAAATGAAATTTTCATTTTTGTGTGTGACTTATATGTTATAACAGGCGAGTGCTATACAAATATGATCCAACAGCAGAACTGTTTCATGTCCAATCGCTAAAGAATAATTAATTTAAAAAGATCTATCAGTTCTACTTTCATTGTTGCGAATTAATAATGTATCAGGGTGCGTTTATGTTACTATGCAATATAATAGATGTTCGTTTTGTTTTTTTGTAAATAATAAATAGGCACTGACAATAAGACATCGTTTAGATAAATCGCGACTTTTTTAACGATAAAATAGTGAATTATCAACCAGCAAGTCAGATTTTAAAGAAAAATAATTCAGGAAGATCTTCCGCAAGTATCTGGGCCTACAACATCCTGAGCAATACACTGGCCATTGTATGAGATCATCCGCTACATGACTGGCAAATGCAGGAGTGA